AGTTGCACTGGACTTGATTCTCATCCTCCCCCTCCTCTTCCCCAACGCGCGGCGAGAGGGTCCATCTGGGCGAACATGTCACCGAAGGGACCGCCGCCGCTGCGCCCGAAGAGACCACCTCCGAGGCCGCCGAACGGCGACATCATCATGTCGTCGAACGCGCCGAACCTCGCCCCCAGCCCGCCACGCCCAGAGATAACAATGGGTTCCAACGTTCTCGGACGTTGGTGACTTCTGGAGACCTTCAGAAACCCCTAAAAGCCTCGGGGCTCCCCAGCATCCCTGAGGTTTCCAAAAGTGTCATTCGTCGTTCCTGGAGGCTTGTGGACCTTCTGAGCTCCCCCTCTTCGCCACGGCCACGCGCGGCTCGGAAAAAGTTCACGGATGATGTCCGGAAGGTGTCCGCAGATCGGTTTTGGGCGGCCTTGGAAGGGCAGGCCTTGACATCGGGGCATCGTGTACCTCCTCCTCCTCCTCCTCCTCCTCCTCATCCTCCTCCTCCTCCTCCTCCTCCTCCTCCTCCTCCTCCTCCTCCTCCTCCTCCTCCTCCTCCTCCTCCTCCTCCTCCTGGTGTTTTGTCTCGCCCCAGGTCGGGCGCTGGCACCCTCACGGGCCGACTCGGCTCTAGAAATCAAGGAAGACGAGGGCAACAGCTCCGGTCGTGAACTCGTGGGGCGTCGCGTTTTTCACAGCCTCACCTGGCTGGGCAGTGTGGTGACAGGTACAGACAAGTCAGGTTTATGAGCACGTCTCGGGGAAATCCGGGAGCCAGCGCGCTTCGGGTACAGTCGGGCTGCTGAAAGAAGGAACGATAAACAAGGAACGACGCCCCTTTTCGGCCCCACAAGCGCCTGCGTGCACGAGGAAGGCTAGAGGAAAAGCCATAGAAGGACCTAAGAAATATCGAGCCCCTTTCTTACCCCAACTGTTCCTTATTTCAACGACTTGGCTGTAGCGCACCGCGGCCGCTCTGGAGCGTCTCGCACCGCTCCGAGAAGGCTGCGAGCAATCCGTCCTCCCGGATGGTGCCGCCAGGCCTGGAAGATTCTCCCCCCCCGCAGTGCCTCCTCCTCCTCCTTCTTCCTCCTCCTTTTTCTTCCTCCTCCTCCTTCCTCCTCCTCGTTCTTCCTCCTCCTCGCTCTTCCTCCTCCTCGTGCCCCCCTGGGCCAGAATGCTCCACCGCCGCCCGGATGGGGCGAGACCAACTGATTGGCGACAGCTGGGCCCCCGCGTGCACGAGCAGGACGGAAGAGTCAGACGTGTCCCGATATGGGGGAAAAAAACTCACCACCGCCACCAGTACACGTCGGTCGGAAGAAGTGCATAAAAAAGTGAAGTAAGAAGGCAAATAAAGTGAATTGAGTCCAAGCCCTCCCAGAGAGTAACAAAGCACAGCAAAAGCGTGTCGATTCTTGAAGGAAGAAGGCGATTGAAGTAGATTGGGATCTGGGAATCCAAAAATACCTATTTTCAACGACCCGCGTGTACATTCGGAGTACAACACTTGCTGGCCTGCGGGATGCGGGAGCCCCGCGCGAGTGCTCCGAAACGCGTACCCCGCCACCACCACCGCCCTTGACCCCCCCCCGCCCCCCGACGGTGGTGGCGGCGATCCATCATTCCTCCCAGCTGAGTCGGGGGTCCCCAAAACGGCAAGATCCGTCAACATCGAACCGTGAAGCCAAATCGGAATGTGCGTTTTTGGAGTCCCGAAACGGTGCGGTGACGGACCGTGCGGCGACCTCGAAATCCCCCCAGACCTCACCGCACGGTCCGTCACCGCACGGTCTTGGGACCCCGGAGGCCCCCTGTCGCCCGAGACGTCCTCGGAGAGCGACCCGAGTCCCAAGACCATGCGGTGACCCCGAATCCCCACGGACTCACCGCACGGTGTGGTCACCACACCGTCTGGGGGCCCCCGAGCGTTGGATCGGGCCACATCGGCCCGGGGTCAGAAAATCGAATCGGATCGGCCATTCCAGGGCGCACAGCAGCGCCCCGAGGGCACCAGGCCGCACTGGACCCTCGGAATGCCAGTCGATCCAGATCGAGCTGGCCCCAGAAGCGATACCGAATCAGGTCGAAGTGGGCCCTGCCAGCGTGCAGCGGCATGGGCTGCCGTCCATCCATGCAATCGCAGGACATCGCAGGCGTCGGGGCCGAAAACGGTGAGGAAGTCTCGAGCGAAACGCGCGGCCCGACATACCGCCACGTCTGGTGGTGCGACGAGGACGAGCTGCTCCCGAGGCAGCGGAACAGGGGAGAGGGAGAGGGGAGGAGCGGGGAGGGAGAAGGAGCAGTGCAGAAGGGAGGAGGTGCGAAGGGGGGGGAGGGGAGCAGCCAGAAGGGGGACGAGGGGGGACGAGGGCGGGACGAAAAGGGTGGGAGGGGAGTGGTGGGAGGGAGGCAGGCGAGGCTGCCGAAGGGCCGTCGAAGGCCGCCGAGGGCCCGCCCCGCGGCCCCGGGGGAACGGGTCGCGCCTGCCTCCAAAGGCCTGCACCTGGGCGGCGGGGCGCGTTGTGGGGAGGTCTGCGTGCCCAGCTTGGGGAGGAGGGAGGAAGGAGGAGGAGGGAGGGAGGAGGAAGAGGGAGGAGGGAAGGAGGGAGGGAGGAGGGAGGAAGGAGAGAGGAGGAAGAGAAGGAAGGAAGGAGAAGGAAGGAAGGAGAAGGAAGAGGGAGGAGGGAGGAGGAGGGAGGAGGAGGGAGGAGGAGAAGGTTCCGGCCGAGGCGCCCACAGGTGGCAGCAGCTCTGGCAACGAACCTCAGGCGGGTCACGCCCGCGACTGCGATCTACAGATTGCCTCATACTGTGCATTTTGGTGCATCAGCACATTCCTCGCATCTTGTCTACACCTTGGTGCACAAGTACTCCAGATTTCGTAATAAAAGGGAGGGGGTCTCAACCCTCCCAGACGAGAAGTTTTAGACCCTCCCCCCGTGGGAGAACCCTCCAAAACATCGTCCCCAGACCCCCCCCAGGCCCTCCAAGATAGCCTGGAAGAGACCCCCCCGAAATGAGACCCCCCTCCCTTTATTACGAAATCTGGAGTACATCTTGCCCCATGTTGTACATGTCTCGCATCGTGTGACGCATTTCGGTGCAGCAGTACGGCGCACAATAAAGGACCGACTTGGCATCGACGGGCTCGCAGCGAAAGGCACCAGGCACGCATACTTATTTCTCTTGCTCGCGCAGCTCGCATCATTCCCGAGGGACAAGCCATCCGCAGCAGCATCACCAGAGCCCAAGATCAACTTGCTAGACACCACAGTTCAGGAATCATGCCCTGGATTTGCAACTGTGGACGCAAAGTTTCAGACAAGTATTGGCACTGCTTATGTGCGCAGGCATGTCAAAATCGTAAAGGATCATCTAGGTCAGTCACACAGTGTCGGCAAATCTCCTGACAGAAGATAACGTTCGACCGCATGTGTGCCTTTGCCCAAAGAGGTTAAGCAGGAAGTCAGCAAGATCACGCCAGCAAACATATCTCTTCTTCAGAGCACGCCTCATATTCTGATCCCCCCACAAGCGGACGAAGCCAAACCTGGTGGATATATCATACAAACGTGGCTACAAATAAACAATATAGGCAATCTCATCGTAGCGGCAAGAAAAAAAGACGGGAAGATGAACGATCCAAGATAGAGATAAGCGTGCTCAAACACTGTCTTGCTCAGCTCAAACCTCGTTGCAATCAGAAACTGGATTCACAGCAGCTCAAGATCAAGATACAGGAGAAAGTCAACATCGCGAGGAAGAAGATCAGGGAATTGCAGGAGCAGGAAGCAAGATGGCCAAAGAAGTACATGAATTGGAGGTGTGTATTGCTTAGCTGGAGGAGGCGAACCTACATGATGAGGAAATGGCCATGTCATCCACATCGCACACATCAGTAGCAGCAGCAGCAGCATGCCACAGCTCAATCCGACAGCCGCCGGAGCCACCCCGGGCGCCGCAGAACAGCTCCAGGATTGAACAGATGCCGGAGGCCAGTCTTGCTTGGCAAGACAGGACTGACACCGAGTTCGAAACTCTCAAGCATAATAGGAGCCCAGAACACGCAACGCCCCCTTCCTCGCCTACTACCATCAAGGGATAGCAGCAGTTGCACACATTGGGTTTTTGGACTAAACCAGCAAACAACCTATGTGCAGCAGCTGCTGCACCTGTAGATGGCACTGGTATGGCGGCAGCAGCAGCAGCAGCAGCAGCATATGCAGCAGACACAGCTGCTCTCACAGCATGTGTAGTACCAAGGGTGCTTTTTCCCAGCACCCCCGTGTTCCCAGCACCCACGTCTCGGCACCAATGGTTGGGAGCATGGCTCAGGCAACGGCGCCGACACAGCTAGAGCCGACGCAAATCACGATTGCATCCAGCCCCACGCAGATCCCCCCAGTCAGCTCAGCCAGGGCAGTCATCCGAGATCGCCAACGGGGGAGACGACAGAGAGGCCGGACAAGTACCAATGCATCGGGGACGACTCGCAAGATCTCGGAATGAGATTACCACATGGGAAGGGCACGACGTGCATAAGCTCGATGCCATATCTCATGGGCAGGGGAGCACGTTTGAATGCCCAATATCTTTGCATCATATTTTATTGCAGCAGCTTGGCAGCACGCCTGGGTTGCATCTCAGATCTGACACCACAATTGATGATCTTTCAGATGATGCACACCCTCATGCGCGACTTGCCATGCAGCTTAACCCTGACCACGACGCACTAGATGAGCCTCAGCACGTGCATGTTTATTTTGATGGATCATTCGTTGAATCGGCAGTTGCTCCTGTGGGCGCAGCATGGGCAGCATTCGTTGCATTTCAATTTTCATACGGCCTGATAATCATGGGAGTACTCAGACATAATGCGTTTCATACGATACCTCAGACAGGCTGGCCAGCGCACTGGGACGGCACCACGGTCGAAATCATTGGCCCCATGTGTATAATACTTTGGGCACTCAGAATGAAATCGAACACGCCAGTTACTTCTCACTCTGATTCAGCGAATGCAATTGCGGCACTGCGAGGAGACGTCACGCATCGTCGCAATGATACCCTATGTGGCATAGTTTTAGCAGCACGTCGCATGCAGTTATATTTTGCGCATGTCAAAGGCCACGCGGGGCATCCACTGAATGAACTCGCGGACGACTTAGCCAAACAGTTGGCACAAGATCCCGATGCATGGTGCTCCGCCGTGCCCCAGCAATGGACAGATCTCTTGGGACCTCGCATATCACGCAGTTGAGCATGGTTACACGAGAGCACTATCCTTGATCGCACTGCCTACCAAAACATTCAGACTACGAAATTCAAATATCATTTGCCGTCACATTAGATACAGGAGCACCAACTGGACTTGACTGAAAAGATCAGCAAAAAAATCGAAAGGCTTGCTCAACGTAGCTACGCTCAACATTCAATCGATGGGCATTGCAAAAAGAAGGATTGCAACAGGGTGAAAAACAGCGAGCATTGTTAAACTAGTTTCAGCAGCATCGGTTTCACGTCGTCGGCAGTCAGGAGGCTCGTCGTAAAATTGGTGCCTACAAAGCGCGAGAGTATTACATTGTCTCATCGCCTGCAAAAAACGGAAACTATGATGCGAGGTTTGGGTCAACCTGTTACTTCCATACGGCACGGGCAAACAAGGCAGTCTCATGCTGAACGAGAAAAACATCATCATAATCATTGCCACACCGCGCTTACTATTCATAAGAGTTCAAGCGCCAGGTATACACATGGTCACTGCTTGTGCACATGCACCACACCGTAGAAGACCAGCAAAAGAGCACGCCGGATTGTGGGCCGCATTTTAAGCAGCCATGAACAGATGAGCAATCTAGATCGTTCTCCTGAACGGAAATGTTCACATTGGTTTGGTTGTCTCTGGTTGGGTGGAGCCACTACATCCTCATGTAGACGATGACAGTGGAAAAGCACTACACATGATTCTGGCTGAACAACACTCATGGCAATAAACACCCACAAATGTACATCTACATGTCACCATACATGGAGCAACACAGAAAGTAGGCAACCAAAAAAATGACTACATAATCTGCCCTGAAGATATGTGTGCCCAAGTTCGTGATTGCAGGGTGAAGTATGACCTTGCCCTGGGTCAAATAAGGATGATCACTATCCAGTATCAGCTCAGATCCAGTTCGCAATCTCGCCGAAGGCAGTTCGCCGCGAGGCCAGCCTTCGACTTGACCAAGGCATGCTGAATGAAAATGAGTTGGCACCTTGGAGCACTGACATCAATCAGCACTGGCAGGAGAGCACAGTCAGCAATACAGCAGCCGCGAAGCAGTGTTTTGCAGCAGATCTCATACGCCCGTTCAAGGCATCCATGCATCCTTGCACATCTGCATTACTTAGGATCCGCAAAAGTTTGCAGAAACCACTTCGTGATGTAAGGGCATTGCAGGAGGAACATTGCATGCAGAAAGCTACATACGCACGTCTACAAGGACAAGCTCACAATATGCAAAGTGGATCCTTGTCCAAGTCTACAGGATGGTAGTACATGCAGTTAACATGCGCCGATCATATGCGACATGCGACTATGTAGACTCACATGCGCCGATCATATCCTTTGCGACATGGATCTCGATGAATATGCTGTACGAGTAAAGGAGAGCATCATTATCTGGCAAAACCTGATAACCATATTTTGGAGAGGCAAGAGATATCGTATGGAACATGAGCTGTGGAAATACCAGACTATTCCTTCCAGGAAAAGGCGAAGGAAATCAACACATCCATCGACGGCAGATTCCCCAGAAGGGATGGAAGGAATTGCCGGTCATGCTCAGGTTAGCAGGACGAGCAGCCAAGAAGGCCAGGACCTTACCAGATCGCGTCAGCCCAGAGGGGGAGGTACTTGACACAAAAAAAAATCAAGAAGCACAAATACCTGTTGGCAATCATGAACATGCAAAGCATTTTGCGCCTGCACAAGTAGCACAGCACGCGCAGTCCGTACAAAAGGTATTTCCTGGTACACACTGAGTTAGACTTAACCCGACCACACGTGATACCAGGTATAGACTACGAGGGGGGGGGGCGGGGAAAAAAAAAAACGACGCCTGGCAAAGCGTGCGGGCCCGACGGGATTCCTGGAGACCTGGGTGGAGTTGCCCCGGAAGCTATGGCCGGGATTGTGCATCCTGTGTTTTTATCAGGGCAAAAGCATCACAGGCAGGGGCCCCATAGGCTTCCAGGGTGGATGTGGGCAGCACCAGTGCCCCAAGAGGGGAACGCCCCATCTTATGCCTCCTCCTCCTCTTCCTTCCTCCTCCTCCTCCTCCTCCTCCTCCTCCTCCTCCTCCTCCCTTCCTCCCTCTCTTCCTCCTCCTCCTCCTCCTCCTCCTCCTCATCCTCCTCCTCCTCCTCCTCCTCCTCCTCCTCCTTCTCCTCCTCCTTCATATAGGTCCATACTGTGCACGAACACGGCAAGCAAATGTGATCATGCGCATTACTGAG